TCCCTACACTGAGATGAAACTGAGTCAGCCAAACTGAAAGAAAAGACTTCAGGGATGATTTTAGACTCTGAGCCCCTCTCTTTAGATTATCCCTTTTGACCATGAGACCAGATCCATGATCCTTCCTGCCTCAGGTCCCCTCTAACCCACTGCACTTCTTCCTCACAGCTTTTGGGAATGCAAAGACTATCCGTAACGACAATTCCAGCCGATTTGGGAAGTACATAGACATCCACTTCAACAAAAGGGGAGCCATCGAGGGGGCAAAGATTGAGCAGTACCTGCTGGAGAAGTCCCGGGTCTGCAGGCAGGTAAGGTGCTACATCTGCAAGGTGTGGGAGCTGCTCAGTCAGCCACTGCAATACCATTCTCCTTGCAGAGCTAACACTTGCTCTTCTCCTGCAGGCTCAGGATGAGAGGAACTACCACGTGTTTTACTGCATGCTGAGAGGGATGACAATGGAGCAGAAGAAGAAGCTGGGACTTGGGAAAGCCACAGACTACAACTACCTTGCAATGGTGAGAGTGCAGCGAAGCAGAGGTTTGGTGCGGTGGGGTGGAGAGAGCTTCTTACCAAGGGAGTGAGAAAAAGGAGGTGGCTTCCTTCACAGCCCAACAGCTGCTTCGCTGGTTGTGACTTATTCCTGAGTTATATGAGCTATTCCTGAGCCTTAGCCACAGGGTTTGTAGGACTTCTTTGTCCCACCACCACAAAATTCACATTCTTAGTGCAAACTCTCATGTGTAGCCCAAGTTGTTTTCACTCTTCCTGCAGAGCAGGACAGACACTTGAATGGTTTTGGTGGCCAGGCCACTTGTCTGGAAACAACCAGAGTGTTGGGTATGAGCTAATGCTCTTGCAGCTGTGATGGATGAGGAGGTGGGCATGGCTGGATGGTGCACCTTCAGCAGCATATGACACTGAGCTGTCTCTGCTCCATGTGTCTGGCAGAACCAGCAATCTCCAGCCCCACTCCCTAATACCAGTGTTACCATCCAGAGGAGCTGGTAGAGGCAGGTGTCATTAAGGCTGGTCCAGCAGCAGCAGCAGGGCTCGGATCCAGGTTTCTAGCTGGATCAGAAAGAGCTTCCAGAAAGTTTCTTTCTCACTCTGTATCCCCCCCTCAGGGAGCTTTTTCTCCTCTGCTGATTGCAGACACATGGTAGCTGGGGTGGTAAGTGGTGCTCACAAAGGTGAGCACCAAATCACAGTGTACACCAAAGGGCAGAGCCAGTTCTACAGGTTTAACATCATCTTTTGCTGATCCATCCCTTAATAAAAGGTCTGCTGACTTAGGGGGAAGCCCTGGCTAGCTGAGGGTTACCCTCAGGTGCTCTCTGCTTCACCTCATGCACTGTGTGGCCCCTCTGCCTCCCCAGGGTAACTGCACGACCTGCGATGGCAGAGATGACAGCAAGGAGTACGCCAACATCCGCTCCGCAATGAAGGTCCTGATGTTCACCGACACGGAGAACTGGGAGATCTCCAAGCTGCTGGCTGCCATCCTGCACATGGGGAACCTCCAGTATGAAGGTAAAAGGACTAAATACAGTGACATGGTCCGGTGCACTTCTGCTCTTTATTCTCAGGGTGAGAGGGAGCCCAGCTTAGGGCCAGAGGGCTGTACCCAGACAACCTGCCATGGTGCCATGCCAAGGACTCTGGTGCTTATTGTGGCGTTTAAGAGACAAGACAAGAAAGGAGGAATAAGTCTCCTGCCTGCTCTACAGGGCTGTCAGACTCCAGTATGCTCACTGATATCTACCTTTCCTGAATTTAGGGAGGTTGAATACGGCCACAGGCCGCTCAGTAGGCTCAGGTTTTGCAAGGAGGGACTGGTGGAGTGTTTGACAAGTCCCTTTGTGACTGGACATGCCTTTGTAAAGGCACCACTGCTGTCAGAAATTAATCAGTGATTTAAAAGCCCCTTTGGAAGACAGAAGCCTAAAGCACTTAGACCCTAGAGGCATTTTTATGCCATCAGTCATTTAGGGTGGCTGGCAGAACAGCCAGCAGAGGGGCTCCAGCAGCCACATGAAGTTTCCTCTTCTTTCTGATGGGCAGATTTTGCCCAGCCATCACACAGAAGCAGTGGAGAAAGACTCTCACCCTCACCCCCATCCACCTTCTGCAGAACCACGTCCCTCACTGAGAGCTTTCTCTCTGCCTTTCTTCCTCCAGCTCGGACCTATGACAACCTGGACGCCTGCGAGGTTGTTCAGTCAGCATCACTAATCACTGCGGCATCGCTGCTGGAGGTCAGTGGCTCTGGGGTGCTGCCATCCCCTTGCTGGCTTGTTCCCACATTCCCAGTAGTGTGGCAAAGCTTTTTCTGAGCCAGGCTCCCCGTGCACCACCAGCTCTAGGAGGCTGGAGAGACCTGGGTAAGCCATACTTTGCTTTGCACTGGCAGCATGATGGTCGATGTCTCCATCTAAGCTGGTATCTGAGCTCCTCTTCGTGTCAATGAAGAAAAACAGACACTTTGGTGACACATCATCCCAAAGAGAACATCCAAAGTAGCTCAGTCCCTAAAACAGAGTGTTTCCCTCTTTGAATTAGACAGTTCATTAGAGATGAGACAAAGATGTCACTTACAATGTGTGTATCTGAAGTGAAGTGAGATGAACGTCACGCAAAGCACCCATGCAGTGGCTGGAGCATTTGTCAGTGGCCTCCTCAGCAGGTAACAGGGCTCCCTCAAGGACAGCATCTCATCTCCATAGGTGCTGCTGTTCCACAGCTGTCTGCAGGCTATTTTCATGTACTTTATGGGGCGGACATTGCATTGGCTTGATGTCAGAAGTACAAAAAGAGGCCACGGGCGTGCAAAGCTATGTTCACGCTGGGAGGACACAGCCTTGCAGGCTTTGCTTTTCATCTTGTCTCCCCACACCTCACGAACGTCTTACATTAAGTCACAAGAACGCTTTCCACAGTATAACACCGGATAAAAGTGTTAATCACTCTCTCAGAAGATGCCTGTGACATCATTTGAGATATTTGCCCTGTACAGCTAAGCACAGTCACTTCCCTCCAGCCATGGGGGGCTGCACTGTTCCTCTCTGGCCATGCACGTTCAGGCCTGTAGCCCATGCCGTTGTGAGGACACCTTGTGTTACAAAGTCAGCAGATGTCTTTGGTGGTGGTTTTGCCAGGTTGATCCTCAGGATGTGATGAACTGCCTTACCAGCCGGACTATCATCACCAGGGGTGAGACTGTCTCCACCCCTCTCAGCATGGAACAGGCACTGGATGTGAGGGATGCTTTTGTAAAGGTAAGTCTCTGGGCATTCCCTTCTGCTCCTGATGATTAGCTGGAGAAATCTGCCACTTTTGAGGCCAGAGAATCCACTGGACAGGAAAAGTGTCTTGCTTGGTGCTTGTGTGAGGTCAGATCAACAGATGGCCTTGCAACTATGATCTCATTGGGATGCACAAAATGTTGAGATGGAAGGAGTCTAGGTAGCTGAGTCTTCAGGGGATTTGTAATCTGGACTCTAGACTGTCTATACTCCAAGGTGACTTGTGGAAAGAACCAACATTCTGAAATTACTTCACCTCAACTTCAGGAAAACAACCTGGCTTGAGCCCCAGGGTTAAGTCCTCAGCTTCTGTAAATCAGAGCAGCTCTATCAACACCTGGAACACTCTCACCTGAATTTCAGGATTTGGGCATGTCTGCAGCAAAGCCAAGCATCACAGAAACAGCGACAGAGCAGTTCAGCAGACATCAGGGCAGTTAGGGAGAGCATCACCTGAGGCTTTGGGGTGATGAGTGTGCATCACTGCTGTGCTGTTTGCAGCCCCATTTAAAGTTGCAAAACAAGTGTTGGTGGCATATTTTGACCAGCTTGGTCCCCAGCTCTTTCTGTGGGGAACTGATAGATCAAGCTGGGTAATTTGGTACCTAACTAATCTACAAATGCAGACTGTGACTTCTCTAGTGGTGATGGACCTTTAAACCAGGCTCCCTTCCTGACAGCACTGCTGTAGCTTACACAAAAGAAATTCCTAACACTGTAAAACACAGAGTTCTGGAATTTCCGAAGCAGCAGTAGCTGCTTCAATAACTCAGCAGTCTGTTGAGCCAGTGCTGCAACATTTAAGGCAGCAACTTGTACAGGTAAGATGTCCTTGGCTTGCCCATCAGTGTAACATAGCTCCACTGATTTGTGGGGAGAGGTTTAGAAACCAAGGAAAGATCTGTCCGGCTTTGCAGTGATCCCATGGAGCCCAAATTTAGGACTGTCCAAATCTGGGATTTTGCTTTAGGTTGTGTCTTATCTAGACTTTCAGATCCATGTTCCTTGTCCTACATAACTGCTCTTGAAGCTTTAAACCATGCTGTCCCATTGCTGGCCATGCTTTAGGGGAACCTGTGCCATCACAAGTGAAGTGGTGCCAGAAATTATCAGGGCAAACTGCTAACCTGTCTCAGTCACCTCTGGTTTTGGGGTATTGCAGGGAATTTATGGGCGGCTCTTCGTGTGGATTGTGGAGAAGATCAATGCTGCAATTTACAGACCTCCTTCCCAGGAACTCAAAAGTATCCGGAGATCCATTGGCCTTCTTGACATCTTTGGTTTTGAGAACTTCACTGTGAACAGGTATGGAGCCTGTAAAAGGAGGGCCAGGTCTTAACCCTCCTCCCCACCCCAAAGCTCAAGGTCTTGCAGTCCTTTTACCTCTTATGAGATCAACAGCTCTGGGCTGGGCCAAGCTTTTTTCTATATGAGACATTTTTAGAGCTGATCACTTTTATGTTGCAGTAGACAACACATTTCCTAAACTGATTGGTTTGGGCTACACACGTATAATGTCTGTAATATTGTTTTGGGGGAGGAAAAACTGATTATATGAACCAATTATGAAATTCTCAGCCCATAGCAACCTTACTGAGTGGTTGATGTGTTCTGAGAGTATTGCTTCAAGCGTGGAGAGAGATGGAGGAAGATAGACCATGGTGGATCTAAAGTGGCCTTTCCTTGACCTTCTCTCCACAGTTTTGAGCAGCTTTGCATCAACTTTGCAAACGAAAACCTGCAGCAGTTCTTTGTGCGCCATGTCTTCAAACTAGAGCAGGAGGAGTACAACCTGGAGAACATCAACTGGCAGCACATCGAGTTCACTGACAACCAGGATGCCTTGGACATGATTGCCATCAAGCCCATGAACATCATCTCCCTCATTGACGAGGAGAGCAAGTTCCCCAAGGTGTGTTTTGGGCTCAGCCCTGCTGTCAGGGACTGTCCTGTTTTAAACACCTTTGCTCTTGCATGCTGGCACCCCATGAGAGGTCTCATCAGCCCAGAACACACACTTGCCAGTGGGTTGCCTATTCATAGGTTTTATTGCTCCGTCACATATTTTCCATGAGTACCATAACCATGCTTTAAACAACTTAGTATTTCTGATGGCAGAATATGACTGCCAGAGGCTCAAGAATAGCTTTTGACAAAGTTTTGAAAAAAATAATGTTAAATATAGCCCCTTTGGAGCACTATCTCAAATATAACGCAACATACCAGTGATATTTAATCAATTTTTAAAATTACTCCTCTTGAGTAATCCCCTCCAACACATCTGTTCTCAAAAATAAATACACAATTGTCACCCAAGACAAAAAAGAAATGCACTTTTGATTAGAAAATTATTTTACTAGGACAAACCCTGGTTAAATGTCAGATCTTCTCCTGCATGCCTAGGGTACAGATGCCACCATGTTACACAAGCTGAACTCCCAGCACAAGCTTAACACCAACTACATTCCTCCGAAGAATAACTATGAAACCCAGTTTGGCATTAACCACTTTGCTGGAATTGTTTACTACGAAACCAAAGGTACGAGGCAGCTCCTGGGGCTCCGGGGGTATGAGGGGGTGCTTGGGGGAAGGTGAGCTGCTGCTGCTGCATTGGGGCAGAGCAGGATGGTGTCAGACCCATCAGACCCGTGGTGGTGTCAGTGTACTCCTCCTCTCCCTGCAAGGAGCTGGTCCTCCAGCAGTGGCCACAAGCTGCAGAGTTTGGTGCTCTTTGGTCCATGCATGTCCATGACAGAGTTGCAGCCTGGCACCACATGGGTCTTTGACCCAGTCTCAAAATGCACCTCAAAATGTCTTCCATCTCTTGGTCCCCCTTTCTCTGCTCACATCACCCCTGTTATCCACCCCCAAGAAGAGCCAGTAGTCCAGCAACCCAGAGGCTGCTTGCAGGGTGCAGCCTGGCCATGGAATCATAGAATCATGCAATCACAGAGTCATGGAATTGTTTAGGTTGGAAAAGCCCTTTAAGATCATTGAGTCCAACCATTAACCCAGCGCTGCCAAGTCCACCACTAACCCATGTCCCTCAGCACCACATCTGCACAGCTTTTCAATACCTCCAGGGATGGGGACTCCACCACTTCCCTTGGGCAGCCTGTTCCGGGGTTTGACAACCCTTTTGGGGAAGAAACTTTTCTTAATGTCCAAGCTAAATTTCCCCTAGTGCATCTCGAGGCTGTTTCCTCTCATCTTACTGCTTTTTACCTGGGAGAAGAGACTGCTCCCCACCTTGCTACAACCTCATTTCAGGAAGCTGTAGCAAGTGAGGTCTCCCCTCAGCTTCATTTTCTCCAGCATAAACAACCCTCATTCCCTGAGCCACTCCTCATAAGACTTTTGTTCTAGACCCTCCACCAGCTTTGTTGCTCTTTTCTGGAGACACCCCACCATCTCAGAGTCCTTGTAGTGAGGGACCCATAACTGAACACAGTATTCAAGGGGTGGCCATGTCTCACTGTGTCATTTATCTATGTGTTGTCCCATTATTTCTCTAGGTTTCTTGGAAAAAAACAGGGACACACTGCATGGAGACATCATTCAGCTGGTCCATTCCTCAAAAAACAAATTCATCAAGCAGATCTTCCAAGCAGATGTGGCAATGGTAATGCAAGTGGGAGAAGACCTTTACTCGTGGGGGTGTTCCTGGGAGGGCAGAAGATTTGCAAAGAGTCATGTTGCTCTGATACTGTTTGGGCTGTTTCAAACCTGTTAGTGTGAGCCAACCATCAGGAAGCATTGGTGTGGTGTCACAGGTACCCTCCATAGTCATGCCCCCTGTTCCCTGCATTCAGTTCATCAGATACTTGTTCTGTGCTGTGAGTGCTCCTCTCCTAATTGTGCTGGGATGGGAACAATAAGGTTTGTGATTGTAGAAATCTAAGAGAGAAAGAATTAGCCCCTCCAACTGAGTAGTTCAGATATGTGTATTATATAGAGAGTGAGAAGTGAAGACCAAGTACTTGTTGACCAGAGCAGAATGAAGGGACAACCTGGCTGGCCTTTAAGCACTCTAGCAGAACTGGGAGGGACCAGCCAACAGTCCTATTTAACTGTTATGACAGCAGAGAGAGGGGACACCAGGTGTAGCAGCTGAAGTTTAAAGCTCTCCTTTCTACATCCCAGTCCTCCAGGAGGACATGTGCTTGCTCCATGCTCAGCAACAGGATAAGACCATGTGTGCTGAAGCTTTGAGGAAAGGCACAGTTATTGCTTTAACTCTTCCCACCCTATTTGAGCATTTATTACTGGGATACCAGTTTAGGTGCTGAGATTAGTGACTATTTCACCATTAAGAACATAAATACCTGATGTTTTATTGAGTAGGTTGAACATCTGCATCTCCCTACTAAGACACCATCAGCCATGCTCCCAAAATAAAAGTAGAAACTGTTTTAAAATGTCAGCCTTGCAGAACCTGGAGGTGTACACAGATTGGTCACTATGGCCAAATCCCTCCATCTCCCTTGGCGAAGCCATGGGACTGCAGAGGGTGTGGGGATATAATTTTCCAAAGCAAAGAATAGTTTTTAGAAGTTGCAGTCCTGTTTCCAAATGCCAGCTCATGCCACTGAGGGTCCAGAGGGCTTAAAGACTTTAGGAGTGTCAGGCACATAAAAATGCTGGATTCCTTTGCCTGCTGAGGGAAAGAAATGTTTCCCAAGAAATTTCTTTAAATGGGCTACTTTTAAATGGGCTAACGTGCCTAAAAAGGCACATTTGCAAGCCTTGTTCATGACCTTTGGCCTTTTTCCTCATGCTGAAATGAATAAGCAATATTGACTTCATTAGGAACAAGAGAGTGTCTCTCAGCTCCACTTAAGCTACCAAGTGGCATGACACTTCAAGTGGGTTCAGCTCTGTCCCCAGATTTGGATACTCCTGCTGAA